GACCTGGGAGGTAACGACGCTTGCCTCGGGCTACCCCGCGCCGTGTTAAATTTCGCGCCCTAGTTGATGTGGTCGAGGGGCATGACGCGGATGGCGACGACGCCGGCCTCCGCCTCGACGTCCGCGTAGGTGCGGCCGTCGAAGCAGCCGAAGGAGCGGTAGATCTTCGCGCCCTCCTCGCGGCTCGCGCAGCCCGGCAGGCAGGCGTCGAGGCCGCAGTGGTCGAGCATGTCCTCGAAGGTGTCGAAGCGCCGCACGTCGAGCGCGCGCGCGATGACGCGCTCCGCGCCGCGCGTCGTCACCTTGAAGGTGATGCAGTCGTCGACGGACACGTGCTCGAGCCAGCCCGCGTAGGCGCGGCCCTCCCAGGTCTTGGCGCCGCTCTTGATGAGGTCCGCGTACTTGGGCTGGAGGTACGGCTGGCCGTGGCCTCGGCCGAACGTCTTGCCGTCGGGCCACGCGCCCCGCGCCTTCCACAGCTCCTTCTTCGCCGCCGCGGACTTCTTCGCGGGGGACTTCGCCGCCGCGGCCGCGGCCGCGGGCGGCCGCGGAGACCGCCGCTTCGGCGCGCACTCGAGCGCCGGCTCGTCGGCGGCGGCCGCGCGCGCGCGCTTCCGCCGCGGCGCGGGCAGCTCCTCGGCGGCGGTGAGCGCGATGGACACCGCGGCGGCCCGCTTCGCGCGCCGCTGCTGGCCGGGCTTGTACGCGGGCTTGGGCGCGACGGCCGCGCGGCCGCCGCGCGACGATTTCGGCCGGTCGTAGTCGGCGGCCGCGGCCGCGACGGCGGCCTTCATCTGGCGCGTGTCGCGCGTGCCTTCCCGCGCCGCCACGCCGACGAGGTAGGGGAGCAGCCGCTGGATGTCGCAGACCTCGTAATACGGCTCGTCGCCGTAGAAGCGGCAGAGGGCCTTGGTGGCGCAGCAGTCGCCCGCGAGCGGCGCGTGCGCCCGCGGGTCGCAGACGAGCGCCGGACGATAACCGGCGCTGCCCGACGTCACCCACATGACCTCGCCGACGAGCGTGGAGGCCATGGCGCGCGGGTGCAAACGGGTGCTTGGACGCCGACCTCTTGAAACCAAACCGCTGCTTCTCCTGAAACCGCATCGTTCCGACGATCGACGCCGGACGACGCCGCCCGACGCCGTAGCTAAGTTGGACACTCTTACGTCGTCCCCGGCCCCGTGATCTCCCAGTTGAAGACCTCCGGGTCGAGGTTGTTCTTCTCGCGGGACTGGCACGCGTACTCGACGGCGTCGAGGGGCTCCCGCGTGTGGCTGTGGCGGCCCCAGAGCGTCGCCGTCTCGATGCCGCTGAGCGCCGGGTAGGCCGTCGGCGGCGCGGACGAGGTCAGCGTGCAGAGCGCGGACCGGAGCGCCAACGACACGTCGTGCGTGTCGTTGGACGCGGACTTGAACTTGAAGGAGTAGATGCCCGTGCGCGGGAGCACGTTGCGCCACTGGACGTTCGCGGTGACGCGCTCCTCCTCGAGGGGCTTCTCGCGGCGGCGCCACTCGTCGTCGAGCCGGTCCACGTCGACGCTGTGCATGGCCAGCAGCGACGACCCGAGCTCCGCGGCCTCGAGGTGCACGAGGGCCTTGGCGACGCGCCGGTCCTCGCGGCACGCGAGGTCGAGGATGTAGAGGCCGTCCGGCCGCATGGGCGACCAGACGTTGCCCCAGCCCAGGCGGTGGAGCAGCGCGCCGCGCTCCGGCGGGCTCAACGGGTGCAGCACCGCGGCCCAGTCGATGGGCGCGCGGAGCCGCTCCGTCAACGCGACGGCCAGCGCGACGCGGCGCCCGCCGCACGCGTCGCGCTCGGAGGACCAGCGCGCGTCGGCGTCGAGGAGCGCCTGGGCGTCCTTCGGGCTCGGCTCGTCGGGCCAGGGCGCCTGGAGCCCGTCGTCCGCGAGCGGGCAGAACCGGAGGAGCGCGGCGGCCTGGCGCGCCGTCAGCGACGGCACGGTCGCGACGAACTCGAGCGCGTCCTCGAGCGCGACGTCGGGCCCGAAGGTGCCCGTCGTCGACGGCCCGCTCATGAGGCGGTCCGCCTTGTGCTGCGTCGTGCCCCCCCGGAGCCGCGTGCGCCGGAGCGCGTCGCACGCGGCCGCGGCCGCCGCGCGGTCGCGGCCCTCGCGCGCGTCGCGCGCGTCCAAACCGTCCGGTGGCGGCAGGGGCGCGCAGCGCTCGCGCCGCGGCGCGCCGCCCCGGTGGCCGCCGCGGAGGAGGAAGAGCTCGAGGAGCGTCGCCGTCGCGCACATGGCCTCGCCGAAGACGCACGACAGCGTCCCCGGCGGCGGGAGGCCCCGCCCCTGGACGTACTCGCGGAACTCGGCCTCGCTGTGGCTCGGGCTGTACCAGCCGAACTTGGCGAAGTGGTCCGCGACGGCGTCGTCGGACGGCGCCGCGGCCGTCTCCGGCCGCGGCAGAAAGTCGGGCACGTAGTCGAAGTGCACGAGGCCGCCGCGCCGCAGCCCAAAGTCCGCCGCGTCCTCGCGGTCCTCCGCGCCCCGCGCCACGTCGTCGCCGTCGAACATCTCGTGCAGGAACTCCACGTCCTCGGACCCGTCGATGAGCGCGTGGTCGTACGCGTGGCCGCCCGACGCGCGCCGGCTCGGGTCGACGTGGGCCTCGACGCCCCCGAAGTGGTCGCTCCGCTCGTAGGAGTCGACCATGACGTTGCGGAAGTGGCCCCGGTTCCCGAACTGGGACACGTCCGCGTGGTCCGTGTCGTCGACGAACGACGCCTCCGCCTGGGCAGCAAAAGGGTGATTCAAGTTCTCTTCAACATGAGTGTTCCGCGCGCGCGCGTTCCGGAAAAAGCATCCATGCTTCGAGACCGTTCCGAGAGATGATCGCTCGTCCAAAAGTCAGCCGAAACGAGTGGAAAACGGCCGAGATCGGAGCCTTTGAAGTTGGGAATTTCGCTCTCTTGTCCTGCCCTGGCCTCCGCCTCCAGGAGGCACCGGATCGCCTCGCGGTCGTGGGGCTTCGACAGGTTCGCCTCGTAGCGGCCCGCGCGCGGGCCGAGCAGCGCGCGGTGCCGCGCGTCGCCCAGCAGCCGCCGCAGCTCCCGGTGCGCCGTCAGCGCCTCGAGGTGGCCGCTCTCCGCGTGGTCGCCCGACACGCGGCCTAGAATCTCGTCGCGGAGCGCGCGCGCGTGGAGCGGCGCTTTGAGGAGCGGCAGCACGGACACGAGGGCCTGGATCTTCGACTGCGCGGCCTTGTCGTTGGACTGGATCCGCCGCAGCGCCCTGGCGTACTCCGCGTCCGCGGCCGTCGTCGACGTCTTGCGGTCCCGCGCGATCAGCCCCTTCGCGAGCCGCAGGGCGTCGTCGACGCCGAGGCGGATGCGCGCCTGGTAGGCGAGCTCCATGGCCTTGCGCGCGTCGTCGCAGTCGTCGACGGCCTTGAGCAGCGTCCGCACCTGCGCCTCCTCGGCGATGGGCCGCTCCTCCAGGTTCGGCGGGCCCACGAGGAACCGCAGGTCCAGGATCCCCGCGCGGGGCATGTGCCAGGGCACGGGCGCGGCCTTGCCCCGGTGCTCCGCGGGCCCGTGCGCGCAGCGGCGCATGACGGCCTCGCGCGGCGCGTACCAGTACGCGTCGCTCGCCTCGCGGCGCGCGTGCTGCCGCAGGAGCGCCGTGAGCTCCACGGCGACGTGGCGCATGAGCTCGTGGCGGTCCACGGCGCCGCTGCCGTCCCAGTCCAGCAGCAGGAACGCGCGCGACACGTCGGCCTCGGAGCAGGCCGCGTCCGCGGTCCGGAAGAGGCGCAGCGCGGCCGCGGCGTCGAGCTTCTTCCGCTCGACGATGTCCTTGCCCCGCGCGCGGAGCCGCGGCAGGAAGAGCTTCGCCGCCTCGGCCTCGATGGCCGCCGCGCGCTCGAGCGCCGCGGAGCCGCCGGGCGACGTCCACCGCTCGAGCGCGACGAAGTTGACGTCCGTGCTCCGCGCGAAGTCGATGGTGTCGAGGATCTTGCGCACGGCGGACTTGCGCGCGCGCGCGGCGTCGTGGCCCTCGGGCTTCTTCGCCGGGGCCTTGGCCGCCTTCTTGCGCGCGTCCCTCTTCCTCCGCGGACCGGTCCCGTCCGCGGGCTCCGGCGGCGGGCTCGCGGCGCCCGCCGGTGGCGCGGCCGCGCCGTCGGCGTCGCCGGCGCCGTCGTCCCGCGGGCTCGCCGGCCGCGAGTCCTCGTCGGGCTTGACCTCCATGACCATGGCCGGCGCCTGCTTGTGCGCGCGGCGGAAGCCCCGCGACTTGTGGCGCACGTTCACCGCGACGAAGCGGAAGACGCCGCCGCTGTCCGCCGCCGTGAGCCGCAGGGTCTCCTCGCAGAGCGCCCGCTCGAGGGGGTCGTCGAGGTGGAAGCGGAAGCGCCAGGGCGCGCGGTGGTTCTGCGTCCGCGTCGCGACGACGGGGATCGCGTGGAGCCAGTCGAACTTGAGCTTCGCGTCCTTCGCGCTGAGCTCGCACTCGCGCAGCGACACGCTGATGGGCGGCCGCGGCGGGTCCTCGGGCCCGCGGCCCGACGGCGGCGACACCGTGAGCGCCAGCAGCAGCGGCGCGGCGACGCCGCCGACGGGGTTCGCGCCGAGCTCGAGCCGCCGGAGCGCGCCCGCCTGCTGCGCGCCCGCGGCCAGGATGATGGCCCCGCGGGGGCCGATGGCGTTCGCGGACACGTCCAGCGCCGTCAGCGTCTTCGCCTCGCTCAGCGCGACGCCGAGCGCGGCCGCGCCGACGTCGCCGAACTTGTTGTGCGGCAGGTGGAGCTGCACCAGGTTCGGGTGCCGCGCGAACCTGCGCGGGAAAGAAACATATGCAACACGACGTCAATAGGCAAGGAGTCGCACGGTTTCGACGTAGCTTTTTTGAAAGGCACCCGCCGAGAGAAAACGATCCGTCCGAAAATCAGCCGAAACGACGTCGATGTGACCGAGCTAGAGACGTTTTTGCCGGACGGGGCGTTCCGCCGGTCGTTTCCGGCGCGGGCGCGAACGTGTGCGAGATGCCCGCGACGGACTCCGGGCCCAGGAGGTTCCAGGACACGTTGAGCCGCTTCAGCGACGGCAGCCCGCCGCGGCCCGCGCCCATGGGCACGAGGCCGAAGTCCGCGTCCGTGTCGTCGAGCTCCGTCGAGTCGTCGAGGAGCGACCCGACGGGCCCGCCGACGCGCTGCGTGAAGTAGTGGCGGTCCTTGGGCTCGACCTCGCGCTGCGGCGCCAGGTTGTTGACGCTGCCGATGGCGTTGGACGACAGGTCGAGCAGCGCGAGCGGCGGCGCGGCGCCCCGGCGGAGCGCGCGGACGAGCTTGACCGAGAGCGCGTCGTCCAGCGTCGTGTTCGCGAGGCAGAGCGTCTTGAGGGCCGCGTACTGGCCGTTGACGAGCGTCGCGGCGAAGGTCTCGACGGCGAGGAGGTCGATGCGCACCTGGCTCAGGTCGAGCGCGTTGAGGCTCTTGGATTTCGCCGCGTTGCGGAAGATCTCGACGACGCCGCGCGTGCCGACGTGGTTCCGGCTCAGGTCGATGCTGTGGACGGGCATGTCGTCGGCCGTCGCGCCGAGGCAGCGGCCGAGGGCGAGCGCGTGCTCGTCGAAGAGGCCCTGCGCGGCGACGGCGACGTGCCGCCGCCGCTGGCCGTCGACGCGCGTCGTCCGGTCGAGGAGGTGGAGCACCTTCTTCTCGACGACCGTGAGGTCCTTGACGGTAGCTTCGCGCTTCACGGCCTTCTCCCGCGAGCTCGACCGGTCCGTGATGCGGAACTTCTTCCTCCGGCCGCGCGCGGAGTGCTGGGGCTTCTCGCCCGGTAGCGTCGCCTGCGTCCGCGGGCTCGCGGGGTCCGCGCAGTGCTTGATGTAGGCCCGCGCGAAGAAGCCCTTGACGAGCACCTCGTCGGGCACGGCCTCGTTCAAAATCTCGTCCTCGGCGTGGGAGCCCGGCGTCGCGTGCGCCGCGCGGCCGCCGGGCGGTTCCGCGGCGGTCCGGCGCCGCCGCCGCGGCGCGGGCTCCGGTGCCCCCGGCGCCCCGGGCTCGACGAAGTCGGGCTTCTGGCGGTCCATGATCTCCTCGATCTCGTCGCGCTGCTGGAGGAGCGCCTCCTTGAAGCCGCTCAAAGGGTGGAGCGTGCCCTCGTGGACGGGCCTCGTCGGCGGCAGGTACGCGCCGTCGCCGCCGAGGCAGCCGCTGTCGTTCATCCAGCGGTCCCAGAAGGAGCCGTCGCCGTCGCTGAAGCGGCTCCGCGGGCCCAGCTGGCGGATCGCCGCGTTGGCCTTGCGCACCGCGAGCGCCGCTTTGCTCCGCGCGGCGACGGCCGGCGGCGGCGCGGACGCCTCCTCGACGCCGGACCCGCCGCTCGCCTGCTCCTTGGACTCGCGCTTCAGCTCCTCGGTGAGCGTCACGCCCCGCGCCTCGAGGCGCCGCTCCACGGACTGGATGGCCTCGCCGATGCGCTTGAACGGCGCGTCCAAGAACTCCTGGATGCGCGCGACGTTGCAGTCCGTCATCAGGTCGAAGGACTCGGCCTTCTCGTCCTCGTCGCGGTTGTCCCGCACGGCCACCTCGCCCTGCTGCGTGTCCGTCACCATCTTCGACACCATGGCGGACCGGACCGGCGGCGGCGGCGGCGCCCCGGGCTGCGCTAATATCGCACGGCTTTAGCTGTGCAAGTTCACCTCAATATAGATCTAACCTCCTGCCACTGCCACACTGTCCACAGGCTGGCGGCCTCGCAGTCGACCTCGCGCCGCGCCGCGCCGCAGACGGCCGCCTGCCGCTGCCCCAGCTGAACACCCTCTCCCTCGCGCCCGCCGCAGCACCGCACGCCATGGCCAACGTCGTCACGGGCCGGTTCCAGGAGGACTACCCCGAGACCTACAAGAACGCGGAGGGGAGCGAGCTCTGCGTCGAGACCGAGGAGGAGCAGCAGGCCAAGGCCGCGTCGGCCCTCGTGGGCATCTTCGAGAAGCGCGTCGCGGCGCGCGGGGACCGGTGCCTCCACCCCAAAGATTTAAACCACGTCTCGGTCGCCCAGCTCGACTTCGAGTACGACTACATCCGCGCGCGGCTCTTCGGGGAGCCCATCGGCGTGAACCTGTACAACCCGGACCACGAGGAGTTCGACGAGGTCTACACCGATAGTGTCGACGAGATTAGCATGCTCTGGCTCGAGGTCTACAAGGAGCGCTACGACCGCGAGCCGCCGGTATCGCTCGTGGAGTACGCGTTCCCGATGAAGGGCGTGTCCAAGGCGAAGCGGCAGAAGATCGAGGACGCCCTCGAGCGGGCCTACGACCGGCTCCGGACGGCGGCCGTCGCGCGCGAGGCCGAGCACAAGCCCCGGGACGGCGTCTTCCTGTCGTGCCCCAAGGGCGTGTCGCGCGCGCACAACGACCGCCTCGCAGCCGAGGCCGCGGCCGCGCGGCCGCCGCCGGCCGTCGGGCCCGTCGACAACGAGCCCGTCATCGTCCCCGTGCCCATCGACGACTAGGCGGGGTAACTCGCGTCTCGTTTTAATCCGACGCTCGCGCGCTCGGCGTTGCTAGTGCGTGCAGCACCAGGACGACGTCGCGTGCGGCTCGTCGTGCTTGTCCGCGCCCTCCGGGACCGACTCCGGCGGCGGCGGCGGCTTCTTCGCCGGCACGGCCTCCGCCTCCTTGGCCGCCGCGGCGCGCGCGGCCGCGGCGTCCTTCTCCCTCTCGACGCGCGCGGCCTCGGCGGCGTCCGCGCGCTCCGCCTTGGCGCGCAGCGCCTCCTTGTCCGCCGCGGCCTGCGCCGCGGCCATCTCGTCGGCCTTGCGCCGCGCGGCCTCCCGCTCCGCGGCGGCGCGCGCGGCCTCGCGCTCCGCGTCCGCCCGGGCCGCGGCCGCGGCCTCGGCCTCGGCGCGCGCCGCCTCCTCGGCCGCGCGCGCGCGCGCGGCCTCGAGCTCCTGGGCGACGCGCGCGGCCTCGGCCTCGGCCTCGAGGGCCGCGGCCTTGGCCTTGGCCGTCGCCGCCCGCTCGGCCTCGAGCGCCGCGGCCGCCTCCTCGGCCTTCTTCGCCGCGGCCGCCCGCTCGGCCTTCTTCGCCGCGGCCGCCTCCTCGGCCTTCTTCGCCGCGGCCGCCTCCTCGGCCTTCTTCGCCGCGGCCGCCTCCTCGGCCTTCTTCGCCGCGGCCGCCTCGGCCTTCTTCGCCTTGGCGTCCGCGGCCGCCTTGGCCTCGGCGTCCGCGGCCT